AAAAATTTAAGCATAGCAAAAATATTTTTCTGTGGACAAACATGAAATCATAATTTTGTAATTTTCATATAAATAGAAAACCAAATGAATAAAAATAAATAAATAAGATGTCAGAAGCTGTTTCTCAAGAATTCAAAGAACATGTCTGCTATAGATAATTGGGTTTTTTTGTAGCAGTTAGAATAATAATAAATACTTTAGCACAACCATACTCTAAAATGGCAATGCTGCAGGTATCTTCTGAACTCACTCATGTACCAGAGTTCATGAGGCAACAAATACAACACATGCCACAAACATCTGGAAGCAGAGGTGTACTTACTATGGAGACAGACCCAGAGCAGCAGCACAATGCTGTGCATGAAGCTACGGTAACGTCGTCCAGCAGCCATCTCTGTGGGGAGAGGAACAACCTCTGTTTCCTCTTTTCATCTGTCAAACTGTGTCTTCACAAGTAACCACAAAAAAAACCTAAAAATAACTGAGATTGGGGGAAGTTTCAATCAAAATAGAAGCAGAAGAAGCGGTCATAAGCTAAACATTTAAAGAAGCCCCAGTTTTGCTCTGTCATACAAGAGGAATCATCAAGCACTGGCTACAGCTGACATGTTTGTGGTGAATAAAGTCACTTTCACCACAGTCACCACTCTGCATGTACTGTACATGAATACTGAGATGCACAGATGCTGAAAAGAGCAGACCATGATCAGTCCTGTTTTTAAAGGAAATGGTTTTGGTGTAGAGCGATAGACTAGAGTGAAACTTTGTTGTTAAACAGTGCTGCTTCTTCATAGCTCTATATAGTATATAAATAAAATGTGCACATTTTCTTTTTTCATCTACACTACATTCGAGGAAAAGGATGACTTTGCTGACCTAATGAGCTGACTCCACTAGTCCATGCACTAGTCCAAATCCATTTATTTCACATAACAAACTGACTTTGGAAAAAAAAGCCAATTTTACTTGAACAAACATGCAACTCAAACACACTGACAACATAAACTAAGATTGTGAACATAGTTAAATGTTCTGGGGTTCTTTGGCTTGGGATTTTTCAGATATTATGAAACTTTTTTTTCCTAAATATGAGGAAGTGGAGAGAATGACAGCATTTCTTTCTGCTCATACCATGAACACTCATCATTCAGCAGAATCAACTGAGCTGTTTGGACGCTCATTCAGGCCTTTCAGGGAAACACATGTCATGAAACCCTGAGACATCACAGCAACATATTTGGTGACATTTCAAAAGAAGTCATGCAATCCTAGTGACGCCATGCTGACCGGCCAAGCTTTAAAGACACATAGCATAAGACACATTTTTAAGTACACTCCAGATGACAGGAAGTGATACAGCACTGATAACGTATGACTGAACAGTGAGTCAAGAAACAGAACAAGTACAGGACACATTCATGGACACACCCTGAAAAACAATTTGAAAGAAATCTCTACAACCCTGATTAATTTGAAAGTTTATGCTCATTTATTTTACAATAAAATTCCCATCAAAGCAATAATATCGATATTACAAGACCTGCGATACAACCTTAACTCTGAAAATATTGGCATGCTGTGTTAAATGCAATTAAAAACTAAATGTAATGATAGTAAATACCATGAAGCCATACCCATGATCTTAGGGAGTTTAGGTGGCACAATTCTGTCATGGAAACCAGTGCATTGGCTCAGGACCTCTTCCAGCTCAGTTCCAAAAATTGCATCTTTGCTGGTATAGTGTTGCATGCATTTGACAGCTTGAAACTATGTACCATCAACACTGAAAGGGATATGTCGGCTTAATAATACAAATAATAAAATATTGATGAAATATATAAACTATAAATATTACATATATATATATATATATATAAATATTACATATATATATATAAATAAATGCAATCTGAAGAGGAAGGCAAGTGAAGAAAAAATGACAGCAGTTGTCAGCGGTGGTTAAGGATGCAGTTTGAAAAAAATCAGCACATAGAGGGAAAATCCTAGATAATTAGCAAAACTGAAATCCCTTGCCGGAGATTTTTTTTTT